GCTGATACACGTTAAACCTCGGTTGAGTGGGTCTGAATTCGCACTTTCTTTTGCGAACCATTTCTCGAGAGAGTGGGGCTGTGGGCCGAGAAACCGGGATTGTGAATACCGAGCGGTTTTGGCTTCTTGAGGGAGCTACGAAGTGGCGATGCTGTGCTCGTGACGCTTCCGGAAGTCGCCACAGACGCCATCGAGCCGTTTCCGGCTCCGCCGACGTAAGGCTTGCCACTGGCGTCTGTCATCGAGATGGTGCCACCTGAAATTCAAACACATTTTTTTTTGTGTAATGTTCCTTCTTTTATTTATTATTTAATTTAACGTTGGAATGTAATTCGTGCTCGTGAAGTTTATTAATTGTTGATGTTGAGGGAATAATCGTGGGATAAATAAATAATTTAAAAAATCCTTTTTTGGAATATTTGGTTTAAGTAGTTATTGAAAATTAGTAATTAGAAAATAATAAATTTTTCAGCTGTTTAAGAATCTTCGTTAATCGCATTTTATTTTTCGAAAAATAAAACAAATTCCTTTGTGAAAGAATTTTATTTGAATTTTATATAAAAAGATAGGAATATCATTTAAAAGAATAATAAATTGTTTGTTATACGTTAATAATTTTCGGTAATTGCACAAAGCATTTGGCTAGAACAGCGTCCACTAATCCTGGAATTTCTCATTAAGGTAATACCTCGAGGATAATTTTTTAAATGTGAACAGTTGTACATTGTAACGCAAATTATCATTTTCATGGAGTTTTTCGTTTTACGAATTAATTATAACTCTTTCATATTTTTCCCAATCTTTCAATGAATTGAAAGGTTTTTGTAAAATATTTTTTATGACGATCTTTTTATGGAGAACACAGACTCGAATCCACGAAAAATTAGACATTGCACGCTTTGCAATTTGATGAACACGCGTGTCACGTTGCGCGTATGCATCCACGTACGCGTCAGAAATATTTAAACGCACCTGCACTTTTGCTACGTGGAAATTCGTCGAGACGTTTTAATTCACCGTCAAACACGATCGAGCACGGTGGACACGCTAGATGGATTTTCATTCTATGTGTCATCTGAAAGCGGAGTTTCAAGAAGAAATCCTTGAAATCTTTTCAAATTTCTTCGTTTCTCTTTTTAAATTTGTCTGGAGATTTTTATATTTTCTTTCGAGATTATTTTGCTACTTTATGCGTCTCTTTATTTATTTTTTATTTACATTATTTAAAAAAAGAGATGTAGAGTTCAATTTAAATGCATATATTTATTTGACAACATGCATTATGAATATTCGAGTATCTTTTTACGATGATACTTTTTTACTCGTATATTTAATATGTATATTTTTATATACCTCAAACAATTTTAAACATTATTCTTTTTTCTCATTTTTCTCAACACTTTAATTTTTCTTTCATATTCGTTAAATAAAATATTTTTAATGCATTCAAAATTTATTGTTCGACAATTCGCTCTAATTTAACGTAAGTTTTACACGAACTATTTTACCATATTAATTTTTTTAAAAAGAAGATATGCATTTAAAGATTATTATTTGGATAAATTATTTACTCTTGCTCGAATGTTCGAAAATCAATTTATTTCTTCCCCCTGTTGAACTTTCTATCCAACTTCTGGCCAAATATTTCCTCTGTGTTATTTGCCTCTTCCTGTTTATATGTTTCTTCTTCTTCAACAGTTATTCTCTCTTATATATTTTCTTCTTGTACGTTTTTCTTTAACAGTTGTTTTCTCCTCCCCCTAATAGTTTCCTCTCCCTACGATTTAACTCGATGTTTCGTACGCTTTTATTCTTGTTCTTTCCAAGTTTCCCGTTAAATCTTCCTACTCTATTATCCTTTATTTCTCTAGTCTCCCACGTACCATCCTATTTAGATCTTCCCCCTTCACCTTGACTCCCATCACGTTTCACATCTGAAGACATTTCTCGGCCATATTAAGTTTCCATCAGCTGTTGGGCGAAGGTTCTTCGAGCAGTAAAGATTTCTATCTCAAACAAGAGAATGAGTTTAAGAGAGATCTCGATTAAGGCATACATTTCGACACGTCAGCATTTATTTCGAGTAGAAATATTTTTATTATTTTATTTATTTATTTATTTATTTTGGAGTATTGAAATTGGAATATTTCTTTCCTTAGAAAGTTCCCTTTCTGAAACTTTCTTAGAACAATAATAATAATCTCTTTGCTTTTATCTTGCTGTGTTCTGGCTCGAATCAAGCAAATACTTCGGAAAAACGTTAAATACGATGCAAATATTATGATACAATCTAATTATATAACATCTCAATTAATATAATTCGATATGATGTGAAAACATGCCAATCAACGTGTTCAATAAATATTTTCATATTATGATTTACGAAACGATATGCATATCTCTTAAATTTATCTGAAATATATTCACTTATAAAGAGAGAGATATATATATAAGAACTCTACTACTGCTTCATCATGCATAATTGTAACCTTGAAAGTAACCAGTTTAAAATGGTGCTTCGATTCGAAACATGTACTAGTAACTAAATGGATATATTTCCATGTTAATCACATAAGTGACATTCCAATGAAGAAAAAACTTTCCTTTTTCGTCGAGAGTCGAGAGCTTTCTCTTTTGTTCCATAGAAATGTGACAGTGCAATGAATTTATAAACATTGCACGTAAAAACGATTGGAAAAATAATAATTTCAATTTTCCAAAAAATTTCAATAAATGGAATATAAAAAAAGTTTAGATCAAAGAATAAGCAGTTTCATGTCTGCACAAGTTAATTACACCAAAAAAAAAAAAAAACTATAATTTATAACACGAGAGCATCGTTTATTTCTGAAAAAAAAAATTTTTTTTGATCATACGTGAGATGAATGCTAATTTCATGACGCAAAATTCAAATGAAGTTTGAAAATACATATTATGATATAAAAGAATAAATATGGATATACGATCTATGAAAAGCACTTAATGACGCAATATTTATTAGTTCAGTATTGTGTAGTTAAATTACTGGCACCACTTAATTAATTACATTCTTCGTGGCACAATGCAAAAATTAAATTTAAATAATTACATGCGGTATTATACTTCATAGACAAACAAATTAATCGGTTAATACACGAAACTTTATCTAAAAATTTTTTAATTCTTTTTAATGATTTAACGTAGAAAAATATGAAACGTGAAATACAATATCGAACGTTTTCCTTACAAAATTCTAAAATAAAATATTTTTAAATTATTTATTTATCCCAATTCTTGCTAAACAAACGACCAAGGAGATTAATAAAATTCTTCACGTATTATCGCGACAAAGAGAATACCGAAATTCGATCGATTTAATTTTGGAATGCTATACACGTATTCCACTGCATTTTGCAATACTTTGTCCTTTGCCACCAAGTGTTACTATTGCTTCTCACGAAATCTTCCTACGATTGTGACAGAGGTCTTATAAATACGCTGGTACCCTTGAAATGCAAATGAACACAAAGAGAAGAAACCCTTTTAAAAGAAAACCTACACCTTGGAAAATTTTAATATTTTAATTTCCAAGTAATAAATAGATTTTTATAATCTTATTCATCGTTTCCTTTTTCAATCTACTTAACGTTTGAAATATTACATATAAATTGTAAAATATTTGAGATGAAAAATACTTCGCAGATGTGTACTTTTTTGGATTAAATTTTTGAACACAAGAATTGAATGGAAAATTAATTAAGAGGTTAACTCGAGTGAATAAATAATACGTATCATGTATCTAAATTTACCATTCGTGGGTTGATGTTCCCGATACCCAGGATTATTTATGGTTCCCGCACGTGGATCACCGACAACCCTAATCTTCGTTGGATCACCACCTCGTCGAGCATAAATACCCTCGTACACTGCAGTGATCAGCACGCCAAAGTTCAAAGCGATGGCAGCCAACTGTAACAACAAGTTTCAAATCGTATCGTTAATAGAAGTTTCAAAATTGATCGTTTATATTCGGTGAGTTTGTTGGAAAAGTTGTTTTTTAATTTTAAAAGTTTAAATTTTGTTCTAAATAAAAAAATAAAAGAATCGATGAGAGAGTAAAGATATAAAGGAGGATAACGGAGAATGGGTTATTTTTTTGATCAAAAAGATAAAATAGAATAATAAAATTAATATTTGAAAGAAATGGAAATGGAATATTTCTTCAATGAATAAATTATACAATTTTTAACATTTCTTGTTTAATGATTTGTTTCTTTATTATATTAACAAAATTAAGAAGAAACTTTTGATAGAAGATAAAAAAAAAATAAAATGATAAACATATGTTATGTAACAATTAATAATTATCATTTCTAAAGTTCGCTTAATGAAAAATCAATTATGTATGTTAATATTTAATCAAGCGGTATCATTATCGTGAATAATTTCTGTACAATTAACGATTTTTCATCGGAAGAATAATTATAATTAGTCGTAATAATGTTCACGCTGAATTTTATTAAATTTCTTTTAAAAAAAAAAAGACATCCTTTCCTCCTTTAAAATAAATTTTTGATAAGATGATTCTCTAGAAAAAAATTATAATAATTTTTCTTTTTTGCACGTGTATGTTTATGGTATGAATTACCATACGTAAAAATTAACCATTATTATAAAGATTATTAAAAATAGCAAAAATTGCAATTACGCAAAGAAGGATCAACTCCATTTCCATATCATTAATTAAATTAATTATCAGAGGCCAGATATAAGAACTCGGGCATAAGACAAGTTCCTCCACGCAATGGATGTCACCTTTCCCATTGTTTTTGAAATTCAACATTAAAACATTTATACAAAGCATTTTTCATTGTTCCTCCTCCATTGTTAAATAGCCCGTTTCCACGGAACCAGACGACTTTGTTGTCTTTTCTTGCGAAACACGATCCTTGATCGACGAACGAGGAAAGGATGGAGGAGCGAGAAGAACACACGAGGAAAGACACGTCAAAAAAGGTCGAAGGCGAAGAGGAATTTAATTAAGACGTACGAAAAAACATCGAGAAGCCATTGTTTCGACGCAATAATTAATTCATCGTTGTTTTTTTTCTTTTGCAACATCTTAACCACCTCAAGAGAGAAAGAGAGAGAGAAAGAGAGAAGAAGAAGAAAGGAAACAGGAAAACCAAATGAACAGGTTGGGTGACAATTTGATTAATATAAGTATTTCCTCCGTGCGTTACTATAATTATAAGGAGGATCGAATGAGAAAAGCATTTGAGAGCAGCGTGGTTAAATGTTGCATGCAAGAAAAAAATTACGAATGGCGGAAGGGATTTATTAAATACGAGGCATTCATAAGATTTTCTACTTTACAGAACCACTTCTGCACAAATGTCGTGATGAGATTGTATTTATTATTTTGCATAAATTATATTCGAATATTCGAAGTGGATTTATTTCTTTCGTAATAATTTTTTATATATGCATTGATGTATAAATAAATATATAATTATTATTTATCGAGAGAAAGCATTAAATTTTTGAAGACTTTATTCTTGACATTATTTTTATGCTTAAATTCTATAACGTCAAACGAAGTAATTAATTGTTGATTAATTTTTATGTAGATTTGCGAAAAGTATATACAATTAATTTAGATATAAAAGTGATTTTGAATATTCTTTAATCGAATAAAGAATTGTGTAATGAATTGCAGGTAAAAATTCCACTTATTTAACGAGTTAAATCGAGGAAGAAGAAAAAGAAATGTAATCAAAGAAAACAAATTATACAGTTTTTTACGTAAATGGGTTTACGTTGTAAAAAAAAGTTTAAACGATTATTTTTCTTTTTTTTTTTTTTTGCATATCCTGTAGCATTTCCTCTAAGATAAGGAAACTCGAAAGAAAAGTCCATTTATCTCTTTGCATTCCGGTTGCAATTGCTTCGCAATTGTTCGTCTTCTTTTTCTTTGAATCCACTTTAAAGTGTTAATAGCAATTATTATTGACAAAAGGAAAAGTATAAAGAAACAAAATTTCATGTTTCTCGCTCCAATCTTTTGTAAGATATTTAAATACTAATTTCATTTAAATTTGTTTTTTTTCCTTCGTTTATTAAAAATCATATAATATAGAAAATATACAAATTTTATATGACAAGAATTATTTAAAAAATTATGATTGCATTTCATCAAGAATTTATCCCATTATTTTACAGTATAAAAAAAGATCACATTATTTAATTAAATCAAATAACATCTATAAATATCAGTTAATCTAATTTTTCTATGTCACGATAAGAAATAAGTCTTATATCCCATAAGAAAAATATACATCACATCCTTTTCATCTCAAAGTATGACAGTTGTCAAATATACACGAAAAAACACAAGCGTACGAAAATTCCCCATGACTCAACACTCTTATAAATCGCTATCGAGATTTTACCTTGCCCTGCTTCTGTTTGTTCATTTTATCCAGCTCGATCTCGTCCTTGGCCTCCCGTAGAAGGCTTCGCCTCTTCTTTTCCATCATCTTGGATTCCGCGTTATGGTATATCCGTGGGCCAATTGTCACGTAACACGGATAAAGATGTATTTCACAAAATCTCCATATACCATTTTATATCCATGAGTATACCAATTTCACATTCTTCCATGTTTTTAACTCTCGATTAACTCTTTCCTTCTTCCATCAATTCAACTCAAGTGTTTCTTAGTCTTTAGTCGTAATTTTGTAATTCCTCTTTTGAATGAATTTTAATAAATTCAACGTGAAGCTCTTATTTTAATTTTTCTTGAAACGAATTGATCGATTTAATACGGATTAAAGATAAATTTTAAGAGTCTCTCGATCATTGAATTTTGTAATCGATAGATATCTCGCGTTTCATTGGTCACATAGTCCAACTTTCTCTATGGAAACACAACGATTCTTACGAAACGTTCATTAAATTGTTTTCACAGTCTGTCACGATGAGGCTTCTTCTCGAGGAAGAATAAAGACAATCCATTCGAATCTCACTTTTCCAAACAATTATCACTAATAAAATTCCAATGCCAATTAACAATTCACCTCACACACTCGCTAAACATGTTCACCAAATGTTCCATTACATAGACCATCCCATTTTAATTCATTTGAAACGAAGCCACCAACGATGAAAAAGAAAAGAAAAAAAAATAAAAAATCGATCGATTAATCACTTAATTAAATTATAAATTAGAATATCATTTGGCACGTAGATCATCGAGTACACGATTGATTAATTTCAAAATAATCTCTAATCGATTAATTATAGAAATGATAATGGAAAAAAGAAGAAACGAGGACAGAAATGAATCGCGTGTAAAAGTATGGTATGGTAAAAAGTCAAGAACGGGGACACGTTGCTAGCAAACGATCCACGCCAAAACGTTCACTGAGGGTCCGCCAATGTCGTCTCATTGTTTTTAAAGTGTCCAACAGTCGTGGGTGCTCTGACACATACTAACTAAGTCCCTAAGGGGGGCTTAACGAGACACCTGCGAGCTGTTCCTGATCAGGTGGCCTTTAAGTATTTAATTCCTCGATCGTACGCCTATATTATACCACTATATTTACACTACTACGTGTATCGTAAAGTTATATACGGAAGATACCGCGTTTTGAGATCGATTCGATCCGATCGATCGATCAATGGAAAATCTATGGAAGTCGATAATTGGATTTGAGAAAAATTGAATGGACAGTTGAATACACGATTTGGTGCGCTATAAATGCAAATTTTAATTCAAGGAGGATATAACGTAATGGGTATTTAATTACATTACGTGGTTGGAAATCGAGATTATGTCATGTTTTCATGTTACATAAGATTGTTAGAGGATACCGAGTTTTCGATTCTCTCGTGTCTTGAGAGATCTTCCGGTAATATACAAGAAATGTATCTAACTAATTTTTCTGAATTTTTTTTTTTATGCAGAATTTTATAATATTTGATTATTTTATACATAGAAGGAGAATAGAAGAATTGTAAAGTAATTTGTTAATAATTGAATAATGATCACAATTACTTATCTTCCTTTTTTTATTCTGTTAATATTTTTCGTATATGCGATCATAAAATTTATATTTTAGAGAAAAAGAAAAGATTTGAATAGTTAATTTTTAGAAAGGATGGATATATCAATGTTTAAATCAATAATGATGCAATTAATTCTTTTAAACTTCTTTTTAAAGTATTATAATTTCACGAATTAAGTGTAACGTGAAGTGTTAGAAGAGGAATGGAAAGAAACCAAGTTTCCAATCTACATCTGCCATTCCATCAATTATTGATCACTGTTGTAATAACTCGATTGCGATCAAAGAGAAACTCGTCACATTGGTTTACGATACAGTATCGTCGTCATCATCGTTATCGCTTGCGGTGTTCCAATAACCGCGAAATTCCTACACGTTGACACACCATCATCATACTAAATGCAAATTCGTAACACGTTTCATTTTACTGCTACTCTATCGCTCCAAAGGAATGATATAGAAATTGAATTTGGAAGGTGGAGATTGTAATACTAAAAGAAACGTGGTCAATATTTAAAAAATATTTAATAAAATAATCTTTACATTTATAATACCAAAATTAAGGGAAAATAAAGTTTTGGTTATAAAGAATGTAAAGCATTCTCCACAAATTTCTCCTAATTTCTTAAAAACCTAATTACCCATTTTATATTTCAATAGCTTTTCTTTCATATAAACTCTAAAAATTTCCCAATCTTTCTATTGCAATTCATTTGTTGAAAGTTCTTAGGAGATCACTGTTGCATTTAATTAAAACAATTATCTATTTTTAACTTTATTATTACACTACATCCTCATATCCCAAAAGAATATCAAGATAATCCTCTCGTTGCCTAATTTCTTTTCAATTTTCATCTTAAATAAACATGAAGAATATCACTTGAATATTAGAAAAAGGAAATTATAACATAAAGAAAATTGAACTTATGTAGATCACCTCCATCGCGCGTATTCCTCAAGTCTGAAGTGGCATCTGTTCGGAAAAAGCTACGACACCCGGTTTAATCTTCCTGTTACGTGTAACATCTGGCCTCGTGTAGTTTCGTCAGGAAAATGTCGCGATAAATCATGTTCATCTATACAGAGACTAAGTCTCCAAGTATCTCGTTGGATAAACCGGATGAAACGGGCAACGGTTTCACTTCCGCGAGAGAGGAGCAACAGGTTTCGATGACAGGGCGATACGATTTCGATTATTTTCTCTCGTTTTTCTTCGAGAAAAAAATTTATTCAATTGAAGAAGCGTTACTGGTCGGTAGTAGATTTGTTTATTTTGAAAAAAGGAAATCATGGACAAGTTTAACGAAAATTGGCGAGAAAAATTGGACGGATGAGAATTTGTGGTCGATTTATTGGCACAGGTAATAAAGAGTTGTTAAATTTTTAGTTGTTAAGAATTCCTATTGAAGCAACATTATATTAGAAATTTTTATAATATTTTCTTCTTTTTTGGTTATTTTAATTTTAAAGATTTGTTTCATTTTTTTAAATTTTGTGAATACCAGGAAGTAACATTTGGAGAATATTCATAATGTTATGAAAATTGGAATGTTGGTGGAAATATATTGCAGTAGATTATTATTATTAATATGGAAAAATAAATATATAAAAATAAATAAGAAAATATTTCTTTCCATCACTGAATCATAAAAATATATCTTTCCATTCATTCTTTAAGTGAAAATAAAATTTTTCAATCTATCCTCGTAGTATATAAAGTTTTTGCTTTCGTAAAATATGTAATGTGATAATAATAATAATATGAAATATCTATTATTCTTTCGTGCATTATTTTACCGTTCAAATAAAGGAAATTCGGAGGCCAATGGAAAATCGAGAATTGTAACTTCGTTACAAAGGTCGATAGAATTTAAATGAGAAATGGAGATTAAAATTAACTAATTTGATCAAGACGATTTTATGGAGAAATGGTGAGAATTTGTAATGAAATAGAAAAGCATGTGAATTAGAGATATTCTGGATCGAAGTTGATTGAGATTGTCGATGGAAAAATAAGTTGGAACGGAACAGTGCACATTTGCATACACGAATACTTGATTAAATTAATAAGGAAAATATAAAGTGTACGATGTAAAAAATTCATAGCAAATACTGGTTTAAAACCTGAAGAACTTGCATCGACGTAAAAGTATTTATCTTGTACTCGGAATAATAAATTGGGAAGAAGCTTCCTTGAAAGATTTATTTATTTATTTTTTTTTTTT